TGGCCCTACGAGCTTTACTTCATCAAAAATATACATCTCGAGTATTCAAAATTTCATGCTGTTGAGTTTTGTTGGGAGGGAGTGGAAGAACATTCAACTCCGCTCTGACGAGTGCTGGTGTGCTTGGTTGCTCCTACGCGCGCGGTGTCCGTGCCAAATTTCGTCGTAAACGTCAGCCTTTACAGTGTCCATGGCCATCTCGAACATTCAATATTCATCATGTCAACTGTGTGCTTGACTCGCCATTTGGACATGGCAAGAGACACGTGTCTCGGATGCACTAACACGTGAAGATCACTTGCCATGCCTTGCCACGCTGCCTGAGAACGACAAGACTTAGTCGAAAAGTACTTTCATTACCCCTGCTAACACAAGCTACACTAAAAAGGTTGACAGCAGAAGGGATAGGGTCCCTAGCAGGCATTTCGACAGATTACTCGATATTGATGTCTAGGAGCCCAAAGTTGTTAGCAGAGACTTTACAAGAGAGAAGAGACAAAGAACTTATTTTACCTCTGTTCTCTCCATTGCTGTGCTCAACAGAACCATGCTCCTCAGAGTGAGCAGTAGCAACTTGAGCCACGCGCCAAGCGACAATGTGCACGTAATCACTGGCCAATGTGTCCATAGAGCCTCCAGACGCAGCAGAGGCGGCTGCAGAGCGTTGGAAGCAGGCAAGGATCTCATCAGGAGACATGTCGGGCGTGGCACCCAAGCGCTCGTACTTGTGGGCAGCGGGCTCACGCAGGAACTCCATTGTGAACAGTGAGATGGAAATGATGATGTAAAAGATGTGCGGATGTGTAGCTTTATATAACAATACATTTGGTTAGCAAATTGTAAAACGCGTTTGCAGAAAGTGCGTACAGGATAGGCACGGCGGCCAAGATCCCTGGGCTGTCAATAGTAACTTACTATGAGACGATCATAAAATACGTCAAAAGAAGGAAGTTTGTTCAGAGAGGCAGACTGCAGAGAGGAAGTCGAGAAATGATGAAGTTGATGAAAATTCAAATGAATTAACAAGTGATCTCGCGTGCAGAAGATCTTTGAGGTTGTTGTAGTTGACAGGTCATTGCGAGGTTTGAAAAGCAGGAGATGGTTTGATATTGGCAGACAGCTTCAACAAATCAGTAAATCGCTGATGCTGAGTCATCAGAGGTTGGTTGCTATATGGACAGGTTTGGTTGGGTCTGGAAACGTCTGCGATGTGACAGCGGCATTGTTGGCGATAGCTCTGGAATCTTATGGGCGGTTTGACTGACAGCAATGATGCTTATGACTTTTTTTGGCAACAAGACCACCTACCTGCCCTTTGCCTCAAAATCTCCCTCGTTTACCCAAGATCATATGTTGATTGTTCAGGACCATCACTAACTTGTGTGTCTCGTTAGATCAAGTCATCATATTCATCAATTTTTGCCTGTAAGTTTGCATTCCACCTCTTGACGCGTAGGGACTTTGGGCTGACCACCTAGAATAGACATCACAATGCCTCACAAAGAGGAGATTAGTAAGTCGTTCTACCCTGTAGTTTTAGTGTGCGTGTGCTAACTACCTTACCTAGTGTAGTGGTGGAAGGTGCGATGGAGGCACGGCGGTGTTCATTTAGAATCCTTCCGTCCAGGAGGGAGACTTAGTCCTCTTCTCTTTTCTCTTCAATACAACCGGGGGCTTAGGCCTTCCATCACTAGGTATGTACCAATAGAAATCACTTCAGCGAGTGGCGCCAGCTTGTCTGTCCGCATGGATCATGGACAGCTGATGGCCCTCGCGGGTCAGATGATGATTGGCGGCACCTCGGACGCGAAGCGTGCAAGTAGCCCTTCTACATATTATTTCCAAGAGCAAAGAATCTGACTCGAACACTAGTCTCGTGGCGGCGACGACGACGACAACAACGACGAGGACGGCGGCAGTACCCAGGTCAGCATACGTCCCTCCCATTCATCCTCCTGGCCGCCCTCGCCCTCGACGAGACCCCATCCTTCCTTTATATATGTACTGACAGATATACAGCCCGCCAAGAAGAAAAAGGCTCCTGGTGTCCCTGGCCCGCCTGGCGCCCCTGTAAGTTTGTGGAATGCTGTATCCTTTCCTGTCTTCTCATTGACATTATATGTACAGAGTCAGGGCAATCCGGCCGGTGCAAGGTCCCGCCGCAGGCGCCGCGAGGCTGCTGCTGCTGCTGCTCCTGCTGCCACTGCTCCTGCTGCTCTCGCCGCAGCCACCACTATCACCGAGACCTCCGGCGCGCAGGACGAGGAGATGGTCGACGCCGACACCACCACCAGAATCTCCGACGCCCAGGACGAGGAGATGACCGACATCATTACCACCACCCCCGCGGCTGTTTCTACCATCGTCAACTTTTCTCCTCGCTGGTCTTCTCTGAAGCATTATCTCGCCTCGCACTCCTCAATGGAGCCTCAGCCCCCCTTCCCCGAGTAGACCTCGGTACCTTCAATGTATGTTTTGGTCTCCTCTTCTTCACTGCAATTGGGGGCATTTGACTTACCTTCGCCCGTTTGAAAGCGAATTTACTAGAAGACATCAATCTGAGTCATCAGTGCAACAAGCCCCCTTACAGAATACCCCTTGTCTTGCCACCATCCATCATTTCAGCTGCTGTTCAGACTTGAGCTCTGATGTCAAGGCAACAACAGCGAGCCTTGCTGAAACGTTAATAGTTTTCAGTGCCGTTGAAATCTCGAGATCAGTAACATGCCTCCCCGGCGTGTGAGGGCGCGACGGCCTCTAAGCGCTGTCCCTTTGATCAACGCCATCGACAGGCGAGTCCTTTCCACTCTCATATCTTTTCATGTGCCACCACTGACAAAACTCAAGAGTGATGATAACGCGCTAGTTCAGGTCCCCGTTGGTTGACGATGCCACAGAGCACGACAAGACCTTGGCGACACAGCTGATGGGCACACGCAAGGCCGTGTGGGGTGGCTCCATCGTCACCGGGACATACGACAACAGTGGAGAGGTCCTGACCCGTGGCAGGTGAAACCAGGAAGGCAAGCTCGACGCATATACCGACGATATCCATGTCGGAGTCTTTGCCAGAATCGCCTGTGTGTGGCCATGACCCGCATGCCTTAGGCTCTATTGGTGGTTGGCGATCAAGGAGCAAGCAAATTCAAGCCTCGGATGCATATCAAGAATCGAAAAGGGGATGATGTCACCACGGATGGCCAACGAGTGAACGCGAAGGAGTTCAAGGCAACTTGGAACTGGTTTGTGGCTAACAATCGGGTGATTTAGCGACAGAAAAACAGCTGGGGAACGGAGTCTCGCCGGACGGCTATCGATCCAAAGCAATGTCGAACAACGGCGGAGGGATATTTGGGTTTCAGGAGCGGTGTGCCTGTGCCTCGACGGATCAAGGCCGTATGCAGTCTGGGTTAGTGGGTAACTCATCTGGAGACCATGGGTGGGAGGAATCTTGCGTTGACCGGAACAGTTCAGTGCGGCTGTTGGGAATTCGACCCCATGACCCTTACTTCAATATTTGACTTGGGTAGTTAATGATAACAATTCAATAGAGCTCTTGAGAATCAATGGTGAGCGTCAGCCTAGCTCTTCCTCTTGCTTCCCTAGCCAGAATTATTGAACGGGGCAAGATCATCACGGCCGTGGCTGCCACAGCTTCGGGAGCATCGCTCTGCAAATTGACAGCGGGCTCACTGTCCCAAGCTCCCGTGCGCACGGTGTCCTTGCCATAGTCCGTCGTAAATGTCAGCCTTTGCAGTGCCCGTGGCCATCTCGAACATTAAATGATCATGCAATCTGCATACTTGAGTCAGAGACTCGTCATCTTGAAAGCTGGTCAACATGGCAAGAGACACGTGTCTCGGATGCACTTACATAGTACACGTGGGGATCACTTGCCATGCCTTGCCACGCTACCCGAGAATGACAACACTCATGTCAAAAAGTACTTTACCCCTACTAACACAAGATACACTAAAAAAGGTGGCCTGTGTATTATGGCAATGTGTAGTTCTGATATCTGCTGATACAAGCATTATGAGCTAATCCTCTGCCAAACGGAGGTAGCTCAGCTTAGCCTTTACTCATGACTTCAGAACTACTCATTGGCCAGAAGTCCTCTCAGGTACAAGTGTGGTCGTTCTCCCCAAAGGGATGCGGCGTCGGTCTACTTTCTTACATTTCTGTAGTAGAGCATAGCCGAAGATCGAAAAAACAATATTATAAACAAATACCTAGGTAGAAAAGCAATAGAAACATTTGCAATTGAGCCAGGAACCTAGAGTTATATAATGTGTATACTGGTCAAATATTATATAGTGCTATAGCGCTCCCTTTTCCAGAGAGTTCTGGAGGATCTAATGAACAAAATGAGTTTATAGAATATATTTTGCAGGAATTTGTTCTATTTGCATAGACGGGTTGTCCCTTAGAGAGCACCATAGCATTACATAATGCCCAACAGATATGCATACCACAAGACTTTAGGTTACCAGCTCATTTGTAGATGTCTCTATTGCTCTTGCTCTTATATTCTAGTATTTATCCAGGATTATGCTTTCTATAGAAATGTTCTTTGGACGATGTCCTTTAAGACAATGTTGCTTGACTAACATCTTTTGAGACTAATAGCTTTTGGGTTAGAGTTCTTTGCTCTAATGTCTTCTAGATTGTGAAGACATCTTTTGGAATGATCCCTAGAACAGTCTTGTTCAAGGGCCTAAAAATAGAATGGGGACCTGGCTGGGAAATGCGGCTCCTTGTATGCATATGTCTGCGCATACCCAAGGTTGACACTGCTGCAACACTCAAGCCTAGGGGATGCAAACGTCTTCCCTACTCTTGTCATCCTAGCTAGGACAAATCCGTGTTAGTTCGCGTTCCCAGGCCGTCTCTGATAGGCTCGGCTATCGAAAGTGGCTGACTCGGACCGCCTCTCTGCTCCACCGGTCTCAGCTCATGGATATTAGGGTATATTTCCATCATTTCTTTCACAATTCAGCGGTCCTTTGGCGCAATGGTAGCGCGTCAGTTTCCGGGATAGGGAACTACTGAAGGTTCACGGTTCGAATCCGTGGAGGATCGTGAGGCCTGGTTGTTGGTGAGGTGGTGTTTTTTTTTGGTGGTGGTAGGACATGTGTGGCCCGCAGGGTGGGCCACTGCAGGCTGTAAAGCAATCATGCACTGGAGAATGACAGGGACCACAGAGTCGAGTTGTTTCATTCAGTATAGTGAAAGCAGTGGTGGTGGTGGTAGTCATTGTGCTGTTGTGAATGTGCTGGTGAGCCCAGCATGATTGTCTCCACCCACCCCTTCTGATAAAGTCTGATACACTTTTGCAGGCATCCCATTAGATCTATGTATTCGCCATCCACGCAATGCAATCTCGTCCATCCATTTCCCCTACGTTGTCTGGCATCGCAAATCATCCGGTCCGGGTCGAAGTCTATATCAAACAGCCGCCAGATATCATTTGGAACCGCGACTTGACGCGCTCTTCATTTTTCCGCGCGGCAAGCAGGCGACAGGCGGCATACTATTTCGGCAGCAGCGACTCAAGCTGCATCCCCGATAACGATTGATACGGACCTGGGCCAGCAACACGCGCCACGTTCTGGAGGTCACCACTGTTTATTCGCTATCATGCAATGACGTCTCAGCCGCCAGTCTCCTCCTCTTCTGCGCCGAACTTGCATCGAACCCCGGTAGTTGTCCTCATTGAGCACGTGCCACTCAGGTACCGCTGGAACACCAGACGTCCTAACAACTCGTGATACCGTCTCTTCTCTTTCAGGGCATGCAGACGGCAGGCGGCTGTGTGATTGCGACGCAGCGACTTGAACTTCATCCTCATCATGGCCCCGCATACTGACGAGGAGGAACCTGTCTCTGCTACGGGACATGTCTTTCGTCCCTCGAAACCACCAAAACCTGCCATTGCCGCACTTCTCACACTGCTCTTGCTTGTCAACCTCGCGGCAAGCTTGTATCAGCTGCCACTCAACCTGGTGATCGAGCGGCGCCTCTGCCTAGAGCACTACCGCCTGCATGATCCTTCCCAGATCGGAAAAGATGGCAGCATCGAGGAGACGCTTTGCAAAATTGATGGTGTCCAAATGGGCCTGGGCTGGATTCAGGGCACGATGGACACCATCTGGGTCGTTGGAGACTTTGTCATGACGATTCCACTCGGCTTTGTCGCTGAGAGGTACGGACGCAGGGCTGTGCTATGGCTCAATCTCGTCCCTAGAATTTTCATGTTGACGTGGGCTGTCCTCGTCGGCTACTTTGATCAAGTCCTGCCTACCAAGGCGATCATACTAGGACCGACGCTCTCATTTCTCGGCGGGGATTGCGTCTTCAATTCCATCACCTATTCACTGGCCGCCGGGATTACGGACGACTACGTTCTTCGAGCATCCTACTTTGGCTACATGAGCTCGATATCGTACGTCGTCAATCTTTTGGGGCCCGCATTGGCGTCCCTGTCTATGACTGTGATGCTGTGGCTTCCATTCTGGATCGGAACCAGCCTGCTATTAGCGGCAGTGCCTGTCATCCGCATGCTGCCTGACCTCATATCGTCGTCACGGGACCGCGATGAGCAGGCGCAACCCCTTCTGTCGTCCCCCCTTTTGAAAGCCCAGGATGCGAATGAGCGTTCGTTGCTGAATTCGGTCATCGAGCGCTTCGGGACTCTCAAACAAGCCCTGGCAAGCCACTCGCGAAACTTTACGCTGATGCTCGTCTGTTTTCTGCTCACTTCACTCGCCAGCTCTGACACCAAGCTTCTAGTCCAGTACATCTCGAAGCGTTATCACTGGAACTTTGCGTCCGCAGGATACCTCATTTCCGGCAAGGCCGTCGTCAACTTCACCCTTTTGACCTTTGTGATCCCTCGCACCCTACGCTCCGTCACCAAGTCGCTCTCCGACGAGGGCTCACTCAACTCGTCGGACCGAACCAACATTCGATTCGCCAACGCATGTTTTGGGGTTTCTATCGTCGGCGCTCTGGCTATTGCTCTGGCAGCTACCGTATGGATGTTGATTCCAGGGCTATTTGTCTACGCTCTCGGCTCTGCACTACCAATTTTCACACTTTCACTGCTCAAATCACCAGCCATCTCATCAGTCTCTAGTGACTCTATTGAGCGTGATGGCGAAGTTGTACCCACCGGCGAGGTCGAAACACACGTCTTTTCCATCGTCATGTTGGTGAAGACGGCTGGCTCGCTACTCGGGGCACCTCTCATGGCATTGCTGTGGGTAAGAGGAATCGGACTTGGAGGTGCCGCACTTGGAATGCCATACTTTGTCAGCTGTGCTTGTTACGTGGTCGCCACATTCGTCTTCAGCCGGATTGTGGTGGTTTGATCAACAGCCCTCTGCATTCATGGCACGCATAAAAATTTGTGCAGGGTTCGAAACATGCCGTGGTTAGACGAGAAGCGTGGTGTCAAAAGAGGGGCACCTATATTGTTCCTCCAAAACTGCATTCTGGGATATCAGATTAAAAGCAGAACCAAGTCCCAATACTCTTCGCCTTGCTCTTCCAAGGCCCCTCTTCCCTAGGCTCAACATCATCTATTGTGTACACATCCGTCACAAGATCCATTTCGGAGGCCTTTTGGAATTTGGTTTTCTTGACCAGCTTCCAGACCACAATCATGAGCGCGAATATAGGCAGCTCGATATAGTAGCTTACGAAATCGACAGAGCTGAAACTGGGGCTGAAGCAGCTCCACCCCTGGACCAGGACGATCACTGTGCCGAGAAACACGACGATCACGGGCCCATAAGGATAGGTCCAATTCTTGAAGGGCAAAAGATGTTCTCGCCCTTGGGCTTTTAGGCCCGCTCGGAAGCGCAAGGATGACACACCAATGCTGATCCACGACAACTGGTTCGACACGCCGACAATGTTCTGCAGCCAGGTCCAGAATTGCCCGGCACCAATGAAGGAGGCACCGAAGAGAAGGCCGGACAGGATGGACGTCGTGAGAACGGAGACGAGGGGTATCTGGTAGCGGGTGAGCTTCGCAAAGACCTTGGGTGCGTGCCCGTTGACGCCCAGGGTGTACATCAAACGCGTGCCGGCAAAGAGAGCATGGTTCGCAGCGGAAATCGCGCTCGTCATAATGACCGCGTTCATGAACGAACCTGCCACCTTGGAGCCAGCCATCTGGAAGGCTAGGGTGAACGGTGATGTGCTGGTCGTCTTGGTGCTCAGGTTAGGGTAATTGTATGGCACATTCAACCCGATCAGCAGCACTGAAAGAAGGTAGAAACCCAAGATTCGCCAAAAGACATTCTTGACGACCCGAGGTAGTTGCCGAGTTGGGTCGCGTGTTTCGCCGGCTGTAATGGCTATACTCTCCGTGCCGCCATAGGCGAACGACGCTGTGACAAAGACGCTGGCGAAGCCCCCGATTCCGCCGACAAAGGGCGCACCAGGAAGATACCAGTACCGAGCGCCAATATACTCGTGCGAGGTGTTTGCGCCGCAGTTTACAGCAATGCTGAGGATGATGAAGATGACAATGGTCACCACCTTGAGCAAGCAGAGCCAATACTCCAGCTCTCCGTAGGCGCGGACATTGATGGTGTTGGTCAAAACAATGATGACCCATACGATGATGCCCAGCGCATACCATGGGAAATCAGTGGTCCAGTACTGCATGAGCAGTTGCAATGCCACCAGATCTGCCGCCGTTGAGACGACGTCGTTGAACCAGTAGTTCCAAGTAAGCGCGAATCCAAGCGCATCGTCCACGTACCGGCCTGCAAAAGTACAGAAACTGCCTGCCACGGGGACATATGCTGCCATCTCACCCAGAGACAGCATCGTGACAAAGACCATGCCGCCGACAATCGCATAGCAAATGAGAAGCGAGGCAGGGCCACCTGTCGCGAGAGCCTTGCCTGTGCCGAGGAACAGTCCGGTGCTGCCATTTCTCAGATCAGTATGTTTTTTTTCTTACAGCACTTGTCGCGTGCCAAGAACGAGTCGTTAGGACCTACCCAATGGTCCCACCAATTGCGATCATCTGCACCTGTCGGGGCGACAGAGACCGCCGCAGCTTGTCGGCCACCACCGGGTGCAGAATGTCGACACCTTCATGCTGCGCTGATTTAGAATCGGCTGGGCTACCGTTTGAGGCGACGGTTTTCTCGAGGTCGGCGTCCATGGTTGTAAGCGCACACTGTGGCTCTCAACCCCGCAGTGGGCGATTGGCGAGGCACTGACTTGGGGCTTGTCTTGTGGTGTTCTTCAGCGCAATGCGACCAGTGAAGACCCTCTACGTTTCTTCATATTTTGTCTGTCATTCCTTCCTTTCTCACTTTCATGCCTGATAGGGTCCTTTGTCAGGAGATCATTCTCACTTCATCTGAGCACGCCATTTCACGTGCTTCGCTTTTTTTTTTTTCGCGTTCACGGCGTAAGCCTCGAATCCATGAGCCACTTCCACTTGCCCACTTGCGGCCCGTCTTTTACGTAAAGGCTTGGCAAAAACTTCCCGTCTGGGAGGATCACCTGTGGCGTGTTCCGCATATGTGCAGTATAACACAACACCTTGGTATGAAATTGTAGCTAATAAGAGCAGGTCTCAGGACCCCCCCCCTTTGAAAGAACAGTAATATGAAGGAAGTTATATTGGATTGAGCCACCTGGCTTCTGCAATCAGAGCAACTGTATCGTACTGCAGTGACGCAGGAAATAACTAGAATCGAAAACCAGCGTAACACGGCAAGAGAGTTGGAGCCTGAACGCCCATTATTGGTAATGGACGAGGCTGATTGCTGCTTGAGGAGGTTAATACTACTGAATATCCAGTGCATGTTCAAGAATGGTAGGTAATGCTCACATGGACTGCCCGGCTTATCAATTCAGTCAAACACTCATTCTGATATTGGAGACACTTCCAGCAAGTACCAAGGAAAGCTTCTACACATCAAGAGGCTTGAATCCCTTGGCTGCCTTGTCAACCAGGGAACCCAGTCGGCACACAGTTCGGTCGCCTTCGAGCCCGCTCAACATCCTGTGTACCTACTCAAGGTATGTTGGATTTGACAAAATCTCGC